CTCCTATTCTACTCATCCACTATATATATATATATATATATATATATATCCCTGCATCTAGACACCCCCTCTGCGGTCTCTCCATTACACCTTTCTACCTCTGCATCACTCCATTGGATCATTCTTACGCCCTGTACACTTGTTGTAATGTTCCTAACTCATGTCCCATTGGAGGAGTTACACCTGAATAATATCACAATTATTAAGCATGGTGATAAGAGTAGTTTCACTTATTTTGTGTTGAGACTGCAGACGGATGGCATGGCCCGGCTCTTAGTCAGTGCTTCTACCAACATGGCCTCCAGCCGCAAATGGGCCAAAATTACTGTTTGAATAATCCCTATACTAATTTGGTCTCTGGGTTATATATCTTTATTCTTGCTAACTCATTACTTTCCCAGAGGGTGCAAGTATGCCTCCAATGACGTCTAGTCCCAAGTGGCTAGCTCTAGTTGGCTGGGGTCCTTAGGGGGTAGACACGCCCCCTTATGTCTAGTCCATTCGGGTAACCTTTTTACCTCCAAACGTTCCCTCATCTTCACATGTAGAACTTGTTAAGCTAGCATTTCGTTGTACAGTCAACGTCATTATGCTGACAGGACATTCCCGCGTGACAAGCCAATGTCCGTCTAAGTCCATACATAGGAATTCTTTAAAGTTTCTTAACCCTTCCTACATCCTCTTTCATACGTCTTACAAGTATTTCTCAAAACTAATTCTATCCTAACCAACATTTCCCCCTAAAATACAAAAAGTTAAATACTCTTTTAACATGTTACCTGGAGTCGGCCTTCAGGGCACAACATGAAGTTTTACTTATTAGTGTTTACATATGTTATTCATCTAATTTGTTATTATGGGTATATCCCTTCAGTCATTGCATTATTTTGGTCATGTTGGGTTCAGCATTGATCTTATGAACATAAATATATAAACATCAGATTTTCAAGGTTCATTATATTCCTTCAGTTATTTTATTATGTTGGCCATATTATTGTTTTCACCATCGAATATATGAACATATATGTATATATCAGACTTTCAAGGTTCATTATATTTGTTCAGTTAATGTATTATTTTGGCCACGTTATTGTGTTTATTATTGAATTTGGAAACATGAGCATGTTTCAGATCATGAGGTTTGTCAGAGTTCTGCATTTATTTTATTGCTTTTCATATACGAGTATTATTAAATGCAATGTTAATCTTGTTAACAAGAGTGTGTATCAGATACTCGAGTTTCATTATACTACTGAAATTAATTACCAATGGAAACATCAGTATTATTGTAAGATTTGAGGCTTTCACTGCGGTGACTATGAAGAAAGCAGTCTTCTGGGATTTGGCACCGTGTATAACACGTTAATGTAACTGAAAAGTTATGTTCTGTGTAAGTTGTAAGCAAAATTACGAAGTTGAATACAAGTATCTCTTTCTGTCAAGTTTACCCACCATCAGCTTTCCTAAACACAAGTATTCAATATATGTTATAGTTCAAATATCCATTGCATTTCATTAGGGGGTGTTGAATTGATGTAAATGAAATGATCTTATTTTACAGGCACTGGTGAGAAACTTTCTCCTGATAAATAATGTTGCAACCTGATATCTTGTTCTGCAGAGGTTCTTACGCCGTTGTGTTTTTTCTGTTTTCGAACTGAGTTTGATATCATTTAACTCATGCCCCTCCAGGTGGTTTTGAGTGAAGTGATATTGAACTCGGTTCAAAAACAAACAACACACAATGGAGTAAGAACCTCTGCAGTACAAGAGGCCAGGGTTGCAACATTGTAAATTTGACTCCAATAATCAACTGTGATTATGGTATGAATAATGTATTGTTATTTATATTATTATTTCTATGTAGTGTTATTTGTATTATCAATGACTAATTCCTTATCCTATATGTAGTGGATTTATGGAATGTAAATAAATGATGATGATGATGATTTATCAGGAGAAAGTTTCTCACCAGTGCCTGTAAAATATAAACATTTCATTTACATCGATTATTAATTCTAGCTATATGCGTGAACCAGTAATTTTTTGGGAGGGAGCAGTAAAAAATGCTGGTGGTATAATATCATAGTTTCTTACCGATAGGCCAGGTGGTATGACAGCATACATTCTTACCGACCGAGCCCTCGGCATTGGTGGCAGCCATTTTTATATGAAGAGAGTCGCAGCTGGCCACCGCGGCAGCAGTGATGTACCGTGACGTCACGGCGTTTATGTTGCATCCCCCTGCCACCTGGTATAAGTGGTATAAGCTTCACTGGTGGAAGCCGTGGAATACCTGCAAGTTATGTAGCAATCCGTAGATTCATGCCTCTCAAACATGTTTTATCACAGCAATTATTCCCTGCTATACCTATAGTACGTTGTGTTAACCGTGTGTGTAGATAAGAAGAAGAAGTGTGGCAGATGCCAGGCTGCAGTTACGTCTGGCTTGCAGATGCTGGTGTGATACGTACTGTATACAGATTTCAACATTATAGAAACGGAACTTTTAATGAACATGGATTATTCTGAATCTATGCAGACGCATCCAGGCTCAACAAACTTGAAAGAAAACAGTGAAATAGGCAGTGTAGTTGACAAGAATGATTGTGACGGTGAGTCATTGCTAAGAGGAAGAGGTTATTTATTACGATCACTTTAAAAAACGGTGAATAAATTCCTGAAATGGTATGAATAATGTGAGGAGAGTGTAGTATATATTGTTTCTACTTAGATCACTTTCATCTCATTTACTTTGGATTTTCTGGGAAACATCTCACGGTCGCTAAACTGCTATGTGTAATGATTAACTTTCTTTACAATTTTCGGTGCATGGTAATTATTGAGTAAAAAGTTTCATATGGTTGGTAACACCCTGCACTTGTGTAAAAGTGTCCGTTTTAATTGTTTGCTTTTTCTACATCAAATTTATATCAGAAACATAAGTAATCTCATCACCACTATCTGTCATTGCCAGTGTCACTACGATTATGGATGTCACTGTCGCTACCCTTGTCTGTGTCTGATTGTTCACTTGTTGAGAATTTGCAAGTTTTCCACAAGTTCTTCATTTTGTAGGAAAGGTGAAATATATGCTGGACTTCCAAAACTTGACACTGTGGTTGCATACTTAAGTTCCTACTTGCCTGCACAGCAGTTTAGTGAAGTTCCAGGCATATTAAATATAAAACAAAAGAGAATACCTGTTGATAGTCATAACTGGGTCTACTGTTTTGTACATTGGCCATCACTTTGAGTTTTTTCAAACCGCTACATTTCAGGAACTGGTTTTGCTTCTGTCATGAGTGTTATAGGGGTAGAGATTCTTACTCCTGTGGGCCTAAGGAAGACCTAGTCTCAGTTACCAGAGATACAGTGTTTAGTGTCCATAGTAGTGGTTCTAGTTATAATTACACACCATCACCAGAAACCTTTAGATTTCATTTGTTGATATTGTTTACCGGCAGAAAATAGTGTAAACTGAACAGTGAGATGAAAGGACAAATCATGAACTGCACATGTGTCCCTGAGGGATCTCTGGGTCAATGCTGAGCTTAAATAAGTTAAATTAAGTCATGAATTTAATTCATTTTTACATCCAGTGGAATTTCATCTCTGATGACTGCATCAGTGATTATCAGGGCCCAGATTTTGATGACCTGAAAATATTTAAAAAATGACCGAAAAAATCCAGAAAAATAACCTAAAGGAGAAAAGAAAGAACACTTCGCTTCCATGTTATTCACATTTCAGAAAACATATGAAGAAAAATTCCCTAAAATGGCCAAAAATGACAAGAAATACCTATAAAAGTCCAAAAATTTACCAAAAAATTACCCCCAAAATGAAAAAAAAAAATACCTTAAACCTAAAAATGTCAAAAAATGACAAAAAAATACCTATAAAATTTACATTTCTGTAACCTGCAGCTCATATCCAAGATTTACATATTTAAGAGCATTGCATAGGATACAAAGAAAAGAAGATGAGATGTCATCAAAATCTTGGCCCTGGTGATTATCATCCTTTTCAATCTTCCATTAAGCGAGTCATTTTGTCAAAAGAATGTAGCACCACCATAGTAAAGGGAAGCTTCTCTTTTTCCATGAACTGTATTTTTACAATTACGAACATCTCGATGTTAATGGAAGTTTTTAATAGTGTCAGTATAGTAACAGTTTTTGATAACATGTTTTATTCGTTTAATTATATTGAAACACTATATTTCTGTTAATTTTTTATGTAACAAAGTTTTTGTAACTGAATTAATTATTTTAAGTTCTCATTTCCAGCTGCACTGCATGAATTATGTGGGATGTCGCTATATGAAGAGAGAGCCACTTGTTGAACTGTTCTATAATATTTATTATAGTTGCACAGTATACACAGACAAACTTGAGTTTGAAGAATTGAATAATAATAATACCAATAGTGAACTCTGTAACACCTTGAACGTTGTATTGAAACACAACACTGAACTAGAACTGTAGAACTCCTACTCAGTATATCTTCTTATATAACCTAGAATTGGATCTATATAAAACATGTCCAAATTGTTGTAGGCTATGCCTAGCAACAGCTGTTTACTCACTTTTCCTAGTAACAGGTGTTTACTGGCTTTGCCTAGCAACCACTGTTTACTCGCCATTGCTAAGCAATGATACTTGCATTGTCACTGTAAGATTTGCTTGGATTTGGGCAGTTCCCTCAATAATAAACTCCTTCTTCACAGATGGCAGCAGTTCCATTTCCTCTAGAACGCTTCTGTTCAAAGATCATGAAAATTTATTACCATAAAAAATTTTATTTTTCTGTTAAATATTATGAACAAACTGTTAAGTCTTATTACATAAGAATCAATGCTGAAAGTTCTATTTCTTCTTACAAACTTCTTGTTATATAAAATAATGACTGCTAAGTCTGTGTGTGTGCTATGAGTAAACTTCGTCATTCTGTGGAATTCAGTGGTTCAGTGAGCAAACTCATTACTGCAAATTTTAGGATTAAATAAGCCTTCCTGGTTTTAAAGTGCGGCTGGCGCTTAAGGCTGACTACGTTACCGCCATCTGTGAGCTGATTGTCTAGAGCGGGGGTCTCCAAACTTTTGGAAATTCGAGCCACATTAGGTAATTAAGCACTTTCAACGGCCGGATAAAATGAGAAATTAATAACTCTTGGCATATGAGTTTTATTGAAAGCACAGAATTTCATGAACTAAATACAAAGAACATGAAAATAAATTATCGTATATTAACACTTTGCAGACCGCACACCCTTTAAAAGGTTTTTCGCTTTTAAACATGGCGGACAATTCGCGTGTTAACAGGCTTTTAGAACACGATAAGTTGCAACACACTATGCATCGTTCTGGTGCCACCTACATTGCATGCATCCGCCTGCAGATGTGTGATAAGACTCTGGAATGTTTAGTTAGCAGTCAGTAACTTGACCTCGCTGTTTATTTAACTGACTATAAAGGAAAATGCTTTGCCTTCTTCAAGCTATGTGTGTCAGCCAGTAGCTAGTGGGGAGAATGGATCAAGGACAAATTCTCCTCCGATGACCTAGCTGACCTGCCTTGTGAGACGCGTAGTAATGGATTAATTGTCATTCAGACAGCGACAGTGATGGGGGACAACAAAGAATTGTGGCCACAGACAGTAAAAGTGACAGTAGCTCCGACGATAATGCGGGTAATAACAATGCGGGGACAGCAAAAAATCTAAAAAAAATCTAAACCCTGATTCAAAATTGAAATACAAAGCATTTCTGATGAATGTGGCAAAGGCCTGGGCTACAGTCCAGATGGTGGCGGCAGAACCAGGGTCACACAAAGACTTAGTACGACCGGGCCCATCAACTTCCACCCCACGAAGGCCTCATGTGGACCCCCAGGGCGACTCTTGAGTGATATACAGAAAAATACCCTCATTAAAATTGTGAAGAGTGAACATTCCAAGGGGAAGAATACTTCTAGGCAATGCCGTGTTTACACAGTTCACAAAAAAGGAGTATGTCTACATTTGCAAGTTCTGTGTAAAGCCACTTCACAAAGGGGAAAGTTTCCAGAAATATCACACCCTCAAGCACTTCTAGGAGCAATGGTAAGTGTTCTCCAAAAATTTTAGTTCAAAAAATTAATTAGGAGATTTTATATTATTTTTTTAAAGTGAACAGTGCACAAATTAGGGTAGTATGTTTAAAAATGTCGGTCCCCAGGGTGATTTAAATATTTAAATCACCGGTCCACGAAGTGTTAATGACAACAGACAATAGCAGCAAATGCTCATATTTTCATCACAAATTATAATAAAATAATTAATGTGAATGATGGAACTCTTTTTGCATTCTTAAAATCTGATTAAATTGAGGTTCAAATTTTGAAATGCTATGTGGTCCCAAAAATGGAGGTAAATTTACAAGCTGGCCGTCATAGAATGGACCAAAGTTCCGGTGGCCTTATCAGCATTCCTCACTACCAATTCTCGGAACAGTTAGAGCAAAACTGGACATAAGTTGCCTTTAATACAAAAATGCTAATAAGTATGACACCGGTGGTGGTGATGATCTGTTACAATTACTCTGCACCACTGCAAGAAGTCTTTGCCGATCGAGGCCAAACAAGTACGAAGAAATACCGCGCAGTATGCGGTCCAGAATTAGTAAAATTGTGAATAATATTAATATTAACGTAATATGGAATATCGGTATGTTTTAAGCACAATCTTAATTAATGAATTTGAAATCTAAGAACAAGTGTTTTTTTACCAGTACTCACTGGAAAATTAGTTCAATTGGTGCATTTCTGCACAGTTCTTTTGCGGGCCGGATGTGGGCTGCAGGCCGTAGTTTGGAGACCCTTGATCTAGAGAAAATGTTGGAGCCTTGATGTCTCACAACCCTATAGGCCTTCATGGCCTGTTACAGGGATAGCTTTACCTTTTTACCTTCCTGAAGGGTGGCCAGTACATGAGGCTGACAACCTTACTGCCATCTCTGAGCTGATTGTCAAGAAAATGTTGGAGTCTTTGACATCTCACAACCCTATGGGCCTCCACGGTCTGTTACAGGGATAGCTTTACTTTTTTTTTTTTTAATCTGATATCACTTCATTTTGGGGAATTGTGTGTTCAGTGTGGGAACTCCAGTGAATATACTCATTTCTCCACATTGAAGGATTCAATAGATTTGAGTAGTCTGACATTACTTTATTCTGTTACTGTTTCAGAACTTGAAGCTTTGGTTATGAGTCGTGCTCAAACATCTACTTCTTTATCTTCAGCTTGTAGTTACAGGTCAACAGATGTAGATATATCTGAGGAAAGAATGAGGAGAAAGCTGAGGTTTTTCTTTATGAATCCTATTGAAAAATGGCAGGCAAAACATAGAGTTCCATATAAATTTGTAGTTCAAGTAATAAAAATTATTCTAGTCACTGTGCAGGTAAGATAATGTTGTCAGAGATTTGCAGTTTGTGGATTAATAAATTGAGAAATTGCAGATAATTGAAATCATATTTTATTGCAGTTATGCTTATTTGCTCATAACCGCTACAAACATGTCAACTACACATGGGACAACCGTATTGCATTTTCCCACCTGTTTTTGAACGGGTGGGATACAACTAGGGAAGTGAATTCATATCCTCCCAGTGTTGGACCTCTAGCTGTGTATAAGATCAGTAAGTTCTACGAGACATTGGATTTTGCTGTCATTGGGGTGAGTCATGCATTCAGTAATGTAACCTATTTATCAGAATTTTAACCCTCACCTTTGAGTGTGCAACTGTTGTGATTTATTATGTGGCTGTATCAGCATTTTGACCATGCAGAGGTATTTGATAGGTAATTGGTTTGAATCCCAGAGTTCACCATCTGGAGAGTGTCATGATTTTCTTCAGTTTATCAAGGTTAACGACTGTTTCGTTTTGTCAAGTATCTGTTAGAGAAGTTACGATTCAGTTTTTTTAGGAAATAACCTACTCAGCAGGACTTAATAGATAATAATGCACATATTCCTTTAAAGCCAAATACTGGTATACTATAAAAGCAGTTACTCCACTGTGTACTGTTTTACCTTGATGCCATATACTTAATGGCGAAAGCTTCAGCTCCACCCACTTCCATCTTTCCTTGTGTGCCAAGTAAATGCATGCATGAAGTGTTATTCAGTGTTGCCAACATAATGCAAAAGTGAGAACATGTTGCAGCACCTGTCTTTAGGTTTAGTTTATTGTACTTTCACTATTTTAAATTAATGTTAGTTTGTGTTGGCTTTAATTCTCTTAATTTTGTTTAGATCTTCATTGGCTTTGGTATGTACAAAGAATTGCTGTGTGCACTGTGTATTATGCTGCATAGTAAGTGATGCATTGCTGCCAAAAAAACAACAGTGTGGCCAATACGTTACACTTCTATCCGTGTTCAGATTATTGAGAAGTCTGTGTAGATACTGATTGATTCAGGTGTACGAGATCTGAAGTTCTTGTGGCTGTGAATATTATTATTCCATTCTTCTTGGATGTGACACTATGTAGTTTGGTAGATAGGTGCCACTGTTTCAGATGAATCTTGTCTCCTCCATCATCAGGTTGAAGATTAAGCTGCCCAGGGGAACTGGGTCCAGGTATAAGGAAGGACAGGCCAGGACTAGAATTCTTGAGTTTGTAAAGGTGGTCCCACTCTTCTCTGTATGGAGGTGGCGACTTTCTCTGTAATGTTACTCTCTATTTACCAAACTGCAAGGCATCACATCCCTGAAGACTATGCTCGTATGATTTAAGCAAACAAAATTCTTCACTCTCTGTATTCTGCAAACAGAGGTTCATTCCTCACTGCACAGAGTGAACTGCTGTGTTTGCTGGTTCTGTTAGACCAGTCAACTTAAATGTTTTACTTACTTACTTATGGAGCTGAGCCTTTCTGGAGGAGCTGCCAATTCTTCGGCTACTCAAGAATTTCCCAGCATTTTATGGAAGCCAAAGGTTCATTACCGTGTTCACAAGAGCCCTCCACTGGTCCCTATCCTGAGCCAGATAAATCCAATCAACACCATCCCATTCTGTCTCTCTAAGATCCATTTTAATATTGTCCACCCACCTACACCTTGGTCTTCCCAGTGGGCTCTTTCCTTCTTGCTTTCCCACCAATATCCTAAATGCATTCCTCGTCTCCCCCATTCGTGCTACATGCCCTACCCACCTCATCCTCCTTGACTTGATCATTCTAATTATGCTTGGAGAAGAGTATGTCACTTTATTCTTAGGTGTGACAGTGGTCATTAAAATTTATGACATTTTTGGTATACAATGGCATGTACTTGTTAGACGAAGACAACCCATACCATACAGTATTGAAACTTAATTTAATTTAATCCAAGTCATTTTGAATGAGAAATGTTATATGAATATTTGTGTTTATTAAGGAGTTATGGTTTATTGAATATTATCAAGAAGGGTGTGGATGTAATTGAAATACATGAAATTAAATTTCTGAAGGTGGTATTCAAACTGTACATCATTGACTTCCGTGTCTTATGCTTAATGGAACTCTACAGAAGTATGTGTACATAGATATCTGCATTGGACTAACCTCTGCATGCATCAGTTTCGGATCATCGTCAAGTTGTAATATTAATCTGCTCATTGTTGAGTAACAGTGTTTGTTCCTGCAAAGGCTATCAGTTTGCTGATAATTGAGCTCAAAAGTAGTGAAGGTGAAGGCACTCAGTTTAACATTTGTGTTAATGGCTGTAATGTAGATGTAAATGCAGTCTAGTGTAAGTGAACAACTTTAAAATGAATTTGCATCTGCACAGAACCCAATTTTATCATTATACTGAAAACAACCACAACCACAGCTCATAACCCATTGTGATCAGGAAATACATTCATATAACATTTTTAATGCAAAATGACATGGTTAGGAACTTCCTTCAGTTTGGCCACTTCCTTCCAAGATCTATGTGAGTTAGTGTTTTATGTATCTATTAGTGTAACCACAATATGAATAAATTGTTCAATATTAAAAGAAGAATTTCAACATATGTTTATTTTCTGTCCATTTATTTCCTTTAAGATTCAGGTTGTGGCTTTGTGAATATTTCAGTATGCAAATCTTGGCAATGCCATTGGTCCATATTCCTATACAGAGGAAGATAATTCTATGCCAGCACCACTTCTTTGCTTGTACCAGTATAAGGAGGGAACCATCTTTGGTTTTAATGAAAGTTACATGTTTAATAGTGAAATTGATGAACGTAAGTCATTGATCATGATATGTATATTAAAAATATATACTTTGAATGTAGTTATGTCAAATTTACAATCTTAATCGTGGATTATTATTAATTCTATGTTCTTATAATGAAATGTTGGACTCATTATTATGATTTCTTTCTAGGATGCTTGAATCTAACAGTAGAACCCAACGTAACTGCAAAGAACTACTCTGCCAAAGATTTCTTGAAAGAGCATGGCATTTTGATAAACTTCTCTTCTTTAGTTAAAGCAGAAATGACATTTTCTTTAAAGACTGTCAACTTCAAGGCTGCTGGACCAATAACTCCACCAGATTGTTACAAATTCAATATAAAGGTAGGACTTGGACAGTGAGTGAATGTAAAATTTGTATGCAATTTGTAGACACTTCATTTTCTTAGAAGGAAAATTTATAAATGACTTCAAATAATTGACGGTCATTCAAGGTTCACAGCCATTTCCATAGTCCTTGTTGACTTCATGATTTTGCCTCCAAATATACTGTTTACTGAAATAATAAACATTGTTGTATCTCGTATACTGTAGAATCCTATTAAGACATTTTTCAAAGTGACAGCTGTTTGCAAGCTAATGTCATTGTGAAATGACATGTTAGATACCACAGGCTCACTAATCAGCTGGTGCTCATCAAAATAGGTAGCATATACTGTGATGTAAAGGCCAGCCATGTCTTGCAAATATCACTCACTCAAGGAGCTGAGCCCTCCTTCAGAAGCCGCCAATTGTGCAGCTACGCAACAACTTCCCAGGATTTTATGGAACCCGAATGTTCACTACCATGTTTACAAGTGCCCTCCACTGATCCCTGTCCTGAGCCAGATCAATCTAATCCATACCATCCCATTTGATCTCTCAAAGATCAATTTCAATATTGTCACCCACCTAAGTCTTGATCTTCCTTCTGGCTTTCCCACAAATATTCTGTATGCATTCCTCTTCTCCCCCAATTGTGCTACATGCCCTGTCCATCTCATCCTCCTTGACTTGATCATTCTAATTATACTTGGAGAGGAATACAAGTTATGAAGCCCTTCATTGTGCAGTTTTCTCCAACCTCCTGTCACTTCATCTCTATTCGGTCCAGATATTCTCAACACCCTGTTTTGAATCTCCATCAGTCTGTTTTCCTCCCTTAATGTCAGAGACCAAGTTTCACACCCATACAAAACCACAGGCAAAATTATAGTTTTGTACATTCTATTTTTTTAATATTTTTAGACAGCAAAAGAAAGACAAAAGGTTTGGACTGAATGGTAGCAATCATTACCTGAGTTCAGTCTCCTCTTAATTTCCTCCTGAATCAGGTTTTGGTTTGTTATCATCGTCCCCAAATATATGAACTGTGCCACATTTTCATAACATCTGTTACCTGTCTTTATGTCATGAATTTGCCCTGCATTCTGGTGATAAGACAGCAACATATACCTAGTTTTCTCTGTGTTTACTTGAAGACCAATCTCCTTACTAGTGTCAGTTAAGGTTTGTGTTTTTTCTTTATGGTATCTATATTATCACCCAGTAGATTCACATCATCAGCATAAACCACCAGCTGGTGTGTCCAATTTAATTTCAGTCCCACCTGGTTTCCCTATACCTTCCTAATGGCATATTCNTATCATCGTCCCCAAATATATGAACTGTGCCACATTTTCATAACATCTGTTACCTGTCTTTATGTCATGAATTTGCCCTGCATTCTGGTGATAAGACAGCAACATATACCTAGTTTTCTCTGTGTTTACTTGAAGACCAATCTCCTTACTAGTGTCAGTTAAGGTTTGTGTTTTTTCTTTATGGTATCTATATTATCACCCAGTAGATTCACATCATCAGCATAAACCACCAGCTGGTGTGTCCAATTTAATTTCAGTCCCACCTGGTTTCCCTATACCTTCCTAATGGCATATTCTAAAGCAAAGTTGAAAAGCAGTGGCAATAATGCATCTCCTTGTTTTAGACCATTCTGGATAGGAAATTTATCAGACAAATGTTTACCTTTATGAACTTTGCTATAAATTTCGTTTACACACATTTTAAACAGCCTAACTAGTTTCATGGGTGCCCCAAACTCTATCAGAATATTGTACAATACTTCTACCCTAACTGAAACATATGCTTTCTTGAAGTCTATGAATAGCTGATGTACTGTCTCGTTCTCCAATTATTTCTCCGGTATCCTACGAATGCAAAGGATCTGATCTGTAGTTGATCTGTTACTTTGAAACCCACACTGATAATCTCCAATAATTTCATCTATGTATGGACTTAACCTTCACAGAAAAAAAATTGGATAAAATTTTGTGTGAAGTTGATAGCCGTGATATCCACCAATAATTACTACAGTAAGTTTTATCAACCTTCTTGTGAACTTGTACAATAATAGACTCCTTCCACTGATCATGCAATTTTCCTGTATTCCAAATAGAATTAATTAGCTTATGGATCTTAGAACATAATATTTCACACCTCCTGCTTAAATCAATTTTGCCAGACTTTGATCACTACATGGCGATTTATACCTTTTCAATTTTGCGGTAGCAGTTTCACCCTCAAAAGGACTAGGATCAGATACTAATGGCTCAGTTATATGTACTTCTATCTGCCTAACTTCACTGACTATAGGTACATTCAATTACTGAGAGAAGTAATTCTTCACCTGTTCAAAATATTGTGGGAATCTGCAAGCAGATCACCATTATCATCCTTCACTAAGTTACTGCTAGGTTGGTAACCACTCTCAAGGTAATTTATTTCTCTATACAAGTCTCTAACATTATTGCAAGCTCATCAATTTTGTGTTTCAGATATTCCCTCTTTTTATTCCTTAAATGCCTGCTGGTTTCAGATCTTATATTGTTGAGATTATCCCCATTTATTTCTCTTGGATCCTGTAACCACTACTGTTTGTATTGTTTCCTTTGGTCTAATAAGTTTGGGAATCCTTAATCAAACCATGGCTCATGCTTCTTCAGTTCATAATAGCCTAGGCAGTCTTTGGTGGACATATTGATATTATCTCTAATAGTTTCCCCAACTTTATTAACACCCACCTCAGTGTCTAAGTTCTCCAAATCTGTGAACATATTTTAGATTTCAACATAATACTGCCCCTTACCCAGTACCTCATTTAATTTTGTGAACTTAAACCTCTCCATATGAAGTCTGTGCATTGTTTGTTTACTCACTGCCAGTCTTTCCCTAATCTTTGCCACTACCAGATAGTGGTCAACAAACTTGAAAGAAAACAGTGAAATAGACAAAGAAGTTGACAAGAATGATTGTGACGGTGATCTGCTGCCCTGAATGATCAGACATCAAGTATACTTGAATGCCATCTCCTATCTACCAAAAGTACGGTCGATTTGATTGTGTGTCTTCCCATCAGGAGATGTCCAAGTATATTAATGTTACAATGTGGGAATATTGCACTTTTGACAATAAGATTTTTTGATGTGGCAAAGTTTACTACTCTGACTCCATTATCATTACTAATTTTGTGTAAACTCTCATTCCCAGTTGTTAGCACATCTTGCAAATATGTTTTAGATAATGTTATTTTAAATATGCTTGCATGTCTGTGTATAAATAAGTGGGTTTCAGTGTTATGTAAGATAAGGTAATACCGTAGAACTTGGTTATAACGTCATCAAAGGGACCTAAAAATAGTGTCGTTATAAACGAATGTCGTTGTAACTGAAATGGGCACTTCCACAGTAGCCTTATGTTAGTCACGTAAAAATCTACCAAAAACCGAGTTAAAATGTTGCATTTGTTAGTGAAATACGTAGTTAAGTACAGACTAACGTAACATTAACGTGGACTTAATATGGATTCTCCATATCATTTGTAATGTAGAATTCACCAAACCAAATTCGCGGCATACATCAGCTTTTTTCCTTCCAATTTCTATTTCACGAATCACTTTAACTTTCTCTTCAGTGCTTAAAACTTTCCTTTTCATTGCCGTGTTTTCGCTACTGCACTTCTCTGGGTTTAGGCAGGAACACTATAGGGTAAGTAGACAATGTGAGGTCCTGTTAGATGAGATTCTAGGAAAGGATGCAGTTAACAATTGCCGCATCCTCTTGCACTGTTCACGCAGTCCCATCCCACACCCTTGTTTTCGCATAAAACCCACGCTCCTCTTGCAGCCCGCGGTCGTATTCTTCCAGGACAGTCACGTCAGCAAGTAGAGAAAGTGAGGGTGGGCAGACACATCAAACTTTCCCACGATATCAGAGAAATTCAGGAATGAAAATAACGTTACATACGAGGTTGATGCATTTGTGCATGTCGTACTAAGCAAGGTATAAAAACAGTTGCTTTATGAGGAATTAGTTCATACCATTGAATATTTGACGCAATAGACAAGGTGTCGCAGAAACCGATGTTGCTATAACCAAGTTTTACTGTATTTGAAAGTATGTTACTAAAAAGAATTTGGATGAACTAATGTATTAATGTAAATCATGGTTCTGAGGGAATAATGTAAACTGCCAGAGTTGGAAAACAAGGAATTTTGGGTTGAATAGTAGCAAAGTTTATAATGGAGTTTATGTACACAACAAGAACTTCATATTTCACACTTTCAAGTCTTTATAGGGTAGTCATTCAGAGAAGTTAAGAGCTGGACATACAAGTAAGGTTGGAGAAAAATAAATGTGTATAGAAATTTGGTGTGAAAACCATATAAAAGTCGTGGAGGAAATGTGACGATAATATGAAGACAAGCCTTCAGGCTATATTTATGGGGATATGAACTGAATTGTATTATTTCAGGTTTTGTATCTTGAGACAGGCTCTGACATAAATACCTAGTATTGATCCTTTTGGTTCTTCTATCAGGTCGTTACAAGCATCATTGGAAATATTTTTTTTTAAGAATGCACAGATATCTTGGAACTTTCAGCATATTAATTTAAATTAGTTTACTTTCAGATATCTTTTGATAATGAGGACCATGATGGACAGATGTTACTGTCACTAGACGCAGATGCAGTGCGTCTCTACTGCAAAGGGGATGTGGAGTATGTTGGTGAGATTGACCTCTTACTTCATACATGAATTTTTTTTTGTTTATTCTTTATTATTAGAGACTTGAAGTTACAGTACCAGTACCAGATCAGCAATATTTGTTCTGATTTGCTTTGCCCGAACCCCAGGTTCTGGTTTTCTAGTGTAAAAACTATGCCTAAGTAGGCTGCGCAGTTCACCTTTAGAGAAGCAGACAGCTTGCAGTTTGATTTATAATCACAGTTAAGTAACAGTTCATGAATTTCGTTGTTTACAGATCCTTCAATTATAATTGAAGGATCTGTAGAAATAAAATCTGTAGAAATAAAAAAAATAATTTGATAACAACTTGTAAATAATTATTTACAAGTTGTTATCAAATTATTTTTTTTATTTCTACAGATTTTATTTCTACAGATCCTTCAATTATAATTGAAGGATCTGTAGAAATAAAATCTGTAGAAATAAAAAAAATAATTTGATAACAACTTGTAAATAATTATTTACAAGTTGTTATCAAATTATTTTTTTTATTTCTACGGGTAACTGTGACTTGATATCATTCATAGATACTTATAATTTAAGAATGAGAAATAGCTGTACCAACATGTTTGCTCAAATAAGAGAAATATTTAATGATATTAATGCATTTCAGTGGATAATCGATTGGATTCCATACTTCTCAGCATTCTCAACTCATTGGTGATTGTGATCTGTAGCATTTCCTTGATTTTGTGTTGTCGAGCCATTTACAGAGCACAACAGCTCAAGTTGGTATGTATAATACTTCATTACTATTGCCAGTATTTCTACACTGCAAATATTTTAGACAAAACACATTATTTGAATAAAGTTTAAAACGAGTGTACCATACTACGATAGGGTACCCAAAAGACTGATTTTTTTGTGGGCAGAGCTTTTGTAGTACCGTGTTTTGCCGTTATGAGCGGATAGAGCTAACATTCCTGAGTCTAATAAGCCGACTACCGTTGCTTCAGAAGGTAAGGACTAGTTTTCGCAGAGTTTATAGTGACAACTGTTTTGTGTGATCGTCGTTTTTGCAATGGCTGATTTTCGTGAACAGCGTGCGGCAGTGAAATTCTGCTTTTTGCTCGGGAAAAGTGGAACAGAAACTCTTGAAATGTTAGAAACGGCTTACAAGGACGATGCTATGGGGGAAAACTCAAGTGTTTGAGTGGTTTTCCCGTTTTAAAAATGGTGAAATGTCAATTGATGACAAACCTCGTTCTGGTCGTCCTTCCACAGCCCAAACACATGAAAATGTTGAAAAAATTCGTGAAATCATCAAGGAAGATCGACGACGGACCATTGAAGAAATTGTGGAGCTATCGGGAGTGACTTGGAGCTCAGTTCAGCGAATTTTGACAGAAGGTTTGGGAATGAAAAGGGTGGCTGCGAAATTCGTGCCACGACTGCTGACTGCTGAACAAAAACAAGGTCGCGTGGAAGCATGCTGTGCTTTGAAAGAAGAGTCCCGAATTGATCAAAACTTTTTTTAAAAAATTATCACCGGTGACGAAACCTGGTGCTATGCTTACAATCCTGAATCAAAGCAACAATCAAGCCAGTGGAAGACTTCAAGTTCGCCTCGCCCCAAGAAAGCTCGTCAGGTGAAATCAAACATGAAAACAATGCTGATTTGTTTTTTCGATGTGAGAGGAGTCGTCCATTCAGAGTTTGTTCCGCAGGGTCAGACAGTTAACCAGGCTTTCTACTTGGAAGTTTTGAAAGGATTGCGCAACAGTTTGCAGCGGAAGCGGCCAGATATGTGGCAGTCGGGTGACTGGTTTTTCCATCATGACAATGCCCCTGCTCACACAGCCCTGTCTGTACGACAATTCTTGACCAAAAATGGTATGACCCCTGTTCCTCAGCCTCCATACTCACCCGACCTTGACCCGTGCGACTTTTTTTTTTTTGTTTCCTCGAATGAAAAGAGACTTGAAAGGAAAGCGTTTTGCTGATGTTGCTGAGGTGAAGGAAAAAACGACGGAGGCACTGTCAAGCATCTCAAAAGATGAATTTAGACAATGTTTTGAAAAATGGAATAAAAGACTAGACAAGTGTATTAGTGTAAGTGGAGAGTACTTTGAAGGGTATTGAAGGTTTGTGCTTAAAATTTGAATAAATAAGTTTAAAAAAAAATAAGTTCAGTTTCTTTTGGGTACCCCCTCGTATACAGTGGAACCCATATTTAATGTGCTTGATTCAATGTTAAATTATAATGATACCAAGTCAATGATCTTAGCATTAAATTACCTTCATTTAAGTTTTTACGTGGTTTAGTGTTCAGATATACTGCTTCCCATAGAAATCTTAAGTGGGGGTTCACTGTAAGTAATATTAACCTTTAATGTACCGATTTTTAAATTGCCAGGAGCCCTCTACGGCCAGTATTTAAATCGCCCTAATTAATTAACGTTGCAGATTTTCAGAAAAAATACATATTTTCCATTCTATGCAACATAGAAATACAAACTAACAACAACCTGAAAGACATTAAAACTTTCTACATATACACAAAAGTGCTATTTTTACAAACGAAAATTAACTGTGATTATTTTTTCATGAAATGCAAAATATAGTCTTTATTATATATATGTTATGAAATTCGAAAGGACTTACCCATTGTTTTTTCTTCAACCTTGAATCATGGTGATATTGTAAATCTAATCACGCTATATACAATAATATTTTGTTCAGACTGTACACAAGTTTGAACTGCGTCACTTCACAGTTTATGATACACTCTGGGGCGCATGTAACTTCTCGAAGCAGTCCACCTCACACGGAGCGACATCACCTTTTTACAATAGAAGAGCATGCTCCTGCTTTTCTTATTTAGCGAAACACACGACGTCTTTGTTTCCCTTTGGTTGGCCAGTGTTGTGAATGTTTCACCTCCAGTCGACTCAGTTGGGCTCCAGATAACCTTGGCCTCCCGCCAAGAAACGCCACTGACCGTGATATTTGCNATTCGCCTTGTGCGATTAAAGAATCATCTTGGGGGAGGGGGGTTTCTAGCAGAATCGAATAAATTATGTTGATTGACAAAGCGACACTCTCACCTATTAGTAATACTCGCAAAATTTTGATGCAAAGTAATTATGATACCAGTCGAAAAGAGTGCCAGCCCGACACTGATACCGAAAGTTGCAGTGGCGAAGATGCCTTTTACTCACAAAGTAATACGGGCTCAGTGGGTTTATACCTCTTCCAGGACACAAAATAAAATAATATACAAAGAAATATATGACAGTCTGACACTGACTTTTTAACTGATAAAGAAATATTAGACAATCCGACACTGACTCCCTGACTGATAATTCGCTACTGAAAACCAATCCTTGAATGCGTCACACTTCCTTGAAGACTCTAGAAGCACTCATCTGCAAGCACCAATGAATATTTCCTCATCAGTTCTCGAAACAAAGCTGGGCTATATTTGGCTGAACAGGTCATAAACAGTCATATCTAAACGTAAATAGTATCAAAACCAGTACACTGATAAACGATTTCATTGTTCAGAGCTAAGGAATGCACCACTGGTATGACCTCACGTAGGTTTGTTTTGGTTTCAAACCCAAGATCAAACTGTCAGCACTCCCAAAGAGAGCACGTGTCATGCCGCATAACATTCGGCCAACTCGGGGTGCTGCTTGCTGCATATATATATATATATATAACATTCGGCCGTTTAAAGTTAAAACAATTTGTTTTAGAATTATGTTATTTTCTGCTTTGTCACATTGAGTAGTGATTGTACAGCTTGCACCATATGATTTATGATGCATGCATTTACATCAAAAGGTGCATGATTAATGACCCTGATGTATATTGTGTTTCAGGTAACTATAAATTTTTTCCAAAAGGCATACAAGAAGGATTTGAGTGCAGAAGGACAGTTGGAGTTCCTGAATATGTGGTATATAATGATCATTATTAATGATGTATTAATTATACTGGGTTCTGGCATCAAGGAACAAATTGAGAGGAAAGTAAGTTTCTCCGTTGTTATGCTGTATGTGTATGTCTGTATGAGTATCTGCAAGGGATAGAGGGTATATAATTGAGGTAAATAAATTAAATACATTGAACTTTTAATTTGGAGCTGGGATAGTGCAGTCGGTATAGCAGCTGGCTACAGGCTGGACAAATGAGGGGTTGGAATTTGAGCATCAGTAGGATCAAGAATTTTCTCTTCTCCACAGCATCCAAACTGGCTCTGGAGACCATGCAGCCTCATATTTAATACATACCAGGGGCCCTTTCACCCGGTGGTAAAAGGGCCAGGATGTGAAGCTGACCACTCACCTCCAACTAGTGCCGAGAAAACATGGATCTGTCCATCTACGCCCCCATGCGTCTTCATCCACAGTGCCTAATTATATAAGCACAGGGAAACCTTTAGCTTTTAAACTTTTAATTTAATACCAAAACAATTTTAATATTTTGAGTTTGGATTCAATTAAATGAACACATTAAAAAGACACACAGTGCAGCAGGAAAAACTACCCATCACTGTGGGATACACAAGTGTAAAAATGGGACCACATATCAAATATTGAAACTACAAAACAGAAGCACAGCAATTTTCATCAACAATTTTAAACGACTGATGATGACCAGTGTTAGTTGAAACATGTGGTGTGATGTAGAGAAACTTTCAAATAAGTAATAGAAAGTCGTGTTGCTCATAAGACGGTTGAATCATTGACTTGACAGAATTATAGCATGTACCATTAAATTGATACCACGGATAGTGGTGAAGACTTCCCCTTCCAGCTTCTGTTGTATTCCCCTCCAGCCCCTTCTAGCCTGTATCAGCCAGCCCAGAGCACTTTTTTCTAGCAAGGGTTTGTACTGGCCTCGAATATAGGGAAAGGAAGTATGCTGGAGGGGTGGATGCTTAAGCTTGACAGATATGTGGACGGGATCAGCCCATGGGACTTCTTGGCCACATCCTAGTTTTGAATGTGTTGAAGTATCTGGTTTAATCTTTCACAAGCTTGTGTTTTGTGTGTGAAAATTGCAAATTCTAGTGGCATGAAATAAGCAAGATAGTGTCTTCGTCATCAAGGAAGATGAGATGGGCAGGGCATGTAGCACGAATGGTGGAGAAGAGGATTACTTGTAGGATATTGGTGGGAAAGCCATATGGAAAGAGACCACTGGAAAGACCAAGATGTGGGTGGATGGACAATATTAAAATGGATCTTAGAGAGATACGATGGGATGGTATAGATTGGATTGATCTGGCTCAGGATAGGGACCAGTGGAGAGCTCTTGTGAACACAGTAATGAACCTTTTGGTTCCATAAAATGCTGGGAAGTTCTTGAGTAGCTGCAAAATTGGCGGCTTCTCAAGAAGGGCTCAGCTCCACGAGTGAGTGAGTAAGTTAGTCTTTGTCATATTCTGACCATCTGAAGTCAGAAATAGAACCCAATATTGAAATTTTATGGTTCTTATATAAAGAACTAGAATGATAGATAAGTTCAGATAAACAGATGTAGACATTTTTAAAACCATGTTTATTATTTAATGGTGGCATGTAAAATATATTTTTTGAATCTTTGAAGCCTCTCCATTATCCTAATAATCTGAGGGTTAGTAGTTAATTCCCCCTCTCTCCCCCAAATATAATTTAAAATAGCAAGCATAAGATTAAAAATGTTCTTCCTATAAATAATGTTTTCCATTCTAGGCTAGGGATCCACTGATTCATCAATGGAATTTTAAACATCTTATCACACAGTTTATGGCAGTACTGAACTCTATCCGTTTGTTTGTTTCTGTGTTGTGCAATCAGTATGCACTAGCTGCAGGTAGAAGTTCTGTTTTTGTCATTGATGTAAAATTCAGTTATTATTTTGTGGTGTATATTTATGTCAGCAAATTAATTCACTGATTTGGTTCTTGGTTATCTGGTTAATTGTGAATGGTTAAATGGTTTAAACAATTGATTCATAGGCCTAGTAATAACTTGTTAATAAAGATATGAACATTTGTAACATTCTGCCTGAGTTGCTGGCAGTTTTATAACTGGCATTATTCTTCTAGGATATGGTAAAATTTGTAATGTTGCAGGTTGAAGTTCATGCATTTATTTATGGGTGCACAGGCACTCGTGCATATTTTGATATGATGCCTGAAAGGCAAAATTGTGCAGCCAGAAGAGACATCCATTGCTAGGTTCCACCACAGTAAATACACAACGGTGCTATTGAATGATCATTCGTTACTCATCACACGACCACAGCAACAGAGGAATTGCAGTGTGCAGTGTTTTCTGTGGGGTCTGCCCTGAGGCTATATAACGAGATCTATTTGGAGCTTTCAGGGGGTCAGGATTGTGAGTGGGTCTGGAGGCAGTGGCCAGGGGTTGCGCCTATGAAGAGCCATTGTGTGACAGACACCAGCCAGTGAGGACAGGGGCTGTGGAACATGGCAGCCGGGGTATCTGCTGTGTTGGGAGCGTCACCAGATGAAACTGGTGAAAACAGGAGACTGTGAACACTCAGTGTGTGCTGTAGTGAATTGCAGAGTGCGTGAATTAGTGATAGTGCTATGGTTACCTGTAGCTATTGGGTGTGAGAACCCGGTAAATATGATTACCAATCCAAACCCTGTGTCTAGTCGCTTAACATGTGACATCTCGTGTTAGAAGTGGGATTGGGTTAAGTGAATTAGAGTGAAGACTGCCGTGGATAGGCATGCCACATGCTTCAAAACTGGAAGTAATGCTACAGTGGCTGCTGGCCAGTCAAGAGGAGTTGCTAGCCATGGTGAAAACCTGCCTAGGAGCAACGGAAGACCCGATAAAGGCCAGCCTAGGAAAGGTGGAAGCTGAAAGTAAGACTGGCATAGAAGAAGTGAAGGCTACAGAGTTGGAGACAAATCCAGAAGTTAAAGGTTTACCAAGAAGAGATGGAGGCCTGCCTAGAGGAAAGGGAGCCAACTGAAGAAGATATTGAGGCCATGGAGAAGCATCAGGAAGTTCCTGATGAAGGGGACGTAGTGTATATTATTGGAGCACCAAAGGATTGCTCTGGGGACCAGCAACCAGCCTTAGGATACTGAAACCCACTGAAGAGTCAGATCCAAGATGGTGTTGTATGAGGAGCCACTAAAGGACAGACATTCCAGAAGAGATGACAGACTCACCTGAAATGCATCAGTGGCATAAGGGACAGGCCTAAATGAGCAGTTGCATCTGGGAAGCAAGAGAAGTCAGTGAAGCCCTGAAATGGACCCTATGGCTGGATATTGCAGAGCGAATAGTCAGGTTTTCATCAGACTCTGAAAGGCCTGTGACCAGACGTTGTGGAGGGGCTGGTTCCCTCCCAATTGGAAGAAGAGTCTACAGACAGCTTAAGACCCAGAGTTATAAGAGCACCAGCTACTCTTGCCTCCGCACACCAGAAAAGAAGAGAATGGCAACATGTCTGTAGGCTACTCAGGATGGATAGCCTTAAGAAGGGAGCAATGTGACATGACACCTGAAAGGTGAAACTGTGGGGCCAGAAGAGATATCCATTGCAAGGTAAACAAGTGATAGCACTATTGAGCAAACATTTGTTGCTACCCAGTAGCTAGTAATCGCCACGTTACCATAACAACAGTTACGCATGCAACAGTATAGGAACTGTGGTAGGTGGTGTGTTCTGCTGGGTCCTTTCTGGGGCTATATAACATAATCTAATTCAAGATTGTGAGTGGGTCTGCAGGCAGTCAGTACTGGCCAGTTATGGACAGATGGGACTAGGAGACAGACGGTGGCCAGGGGTTGTGGCCATGAAGAGTCATTGTGGGGTAGACACCCGCCAGCGAGGACGGGAGTTGTGAAACGTGGCAGCTGAGGTATTTTCTGTGTAGGGAGCGTCACCAGGTGACAACCAATGAAGACACAGGAGACTGAGAAGACCCAGTGTGTGCTGTAGTGAATTGCAGAATGCGGAAATTAGCGATAACACTGTAATTACCTGTAGTTACAAGCTCTGAGAGTCCAGTATATCCAGTTTCCAATCCAAACCCCCTGTATAGTCACTAAACAAATGGCAGTATTTTATAATGTTCTCAGATTTTTGTTTTTTGTTTTAGCAGTTCGCTGGAGATCAGTGGAACATTTGTAGTGTTTTTCTGGGCACTGGCAATCTTTTGGTATGGTTTGGTGTGCTGAGATACCTTGGCTTCTTTAAAACATACAATGTAAGTAGCTAATGCTAATATTCTCTGCAACTAAAGTTTATTCATATAAAGATATAGTGATATTACTATGAATTCAGCTAATGTGTAGTCAGTCAGCAGTTATGAACTCATAACCTCAGTATTGCTGACAAAAATGGAGTTCTTAGTTGTCAGTTTTCACTTTGCACTGGACATCAGTAAGCCATTATTCTTTAAATATCTGAGTTATACTCTTACTCGATACTAAAATATTTCTTCCTTTCATATTCAGGTCGTTATTTTGACATTGAAGAAAGCAGCCCCTAAGGTTGCTAGGTTCCTCCTCTGTGCATTATTGATCTACGCAGGGTTTACATTCTGTGGGTGGCTTATTCTTGGACCCTATCATATGAAGGTATGTCCACATATGTTTTAGTACAATTTTTTTAGGTTTGCTTTAATTTTTGCCCTTCAGACACCCTTTTTCATATATGCATAATTTGAATACTGTTTTTAATTTGAGCAGTATACTTGTATAGAAAATTTTATCAGTGTGTGACATGGTTTGTTACCAGAAAATGAGTGAGGTTTTGAAACTCCTTGTACTTTACTATGCAGAAATACTGGGTGTGTGCTTATGTGCATTCCTACCATACTGCTTTATGTAGGTGTGTTTTATATTGACTCTTATGATTTCTCCTGCAGTTCCGGTCACTGGCCAGCACTTCTGAGTGTTTGTTTGCTCTCATCAATGGGGATGATATGTATGCAACGTTCTCCATCATGTCCTTCAAATCACCAATGCTATGGTGGTACAGTCGCATATACCTGTACTGTTTCATCTCACTTTACATCTATGTAGTGATCAGCTTATTCATTTCTGTCATAATGGATGCCTATGACACAATCAAGGTAAAATTATAATCTGGTCTAGAAAGACATTTTTCTTTGGTATGTTTGTTCTTAACAGGTCATTGAAATGAAAAGAATGGGTATCAGTAAGAGGAGACTTGTTTGACTCAATTTATACTGTAAATTTCTTTAATCAGCAATTTTGGAAATTTTTTTATTATCATCATAAATTACAAATATTACATTGTAGTGTCATGTTGTGAGAATATATTCCCTAAATACCATGTGAAAATTCTGTGAGGAAATTTCAATGCCAAAGTAGGTAGGGAAGACATTTTCAAGCCAACAGTTGGGAAGGAGAGTTTGTATGAAATCAGCAATGATAATGGAGTTAGAGAAGTAAACTTTGCCACATCCAAACATCTGACTGTCAAAAGTAAAATGTTCCCACATTGTAACATACATAAATTTACTGGGACATCTCCTGATGGAAAGACTCACAATGAAATTGACCATATATTGATAGACAGGAGATGACATTCAAGTACACTTGATGTCAGATCATTCAGGGCAGCAGATTGTGATACTGACCACTACCTGGTGGTGGCCAAGGTTAGGGAAAGACTGGCAGTGAGCAAACAAACAATTCACAGAGTTCAGAGTTCATATGGAGAAGTTCAGTCTCAAGAAATTAAATGAGGTAGAAGGTAAAGACTAGTATCAGATTGAAATCTCAAATAGGTTCACAGCTTTGGAAAACTTGATACAGAAGTGAATATTGATAGAGCTTGGGAAAATATTAGAATATAAAAATTTCATCCATAGAGAGTCTAGATTATTATGATTGAAGAAGCATAAGCCATGGCTCGACGAAGGATACTCAAAATTATTTGATCAGAGGACTCTAGAAAAACTATAGTGGTTTCAGAATCCAAGTGAAATAAGTAGGGATGATCTGAACAGTATAAGATGTGAAGCCAGCAGACATTTCAAAAACAAAAAGAGGGAATATCTGAAAGAAAATCAATGAACTTGCAACATACAGTAAAGTAAAGCTATCCCTGTAACAGGCCTTGAAGGCCCATAGGGTTGTGAGACATTGAGGGTCCCACATTATCTAGACAATCAGCTCAAATATGGCGGTAAGGTTGTCAGCCTTACACACTGGCTGCGCTTTACTCCCCAGGAAAATTATTTGCAACGAACAATAAGAACAAGAACATTAGAGACCCATATAGAGGAATAAATGACTTTACTCGTAAGATGGATGACAGACCTATAAGTTACCTAGTGAAGAATGAGATTGGTGATCTGCTTGCAGATTCCCACAACGTTTGAATAGGTGGAGGAACTACCTCTCTCAGTTATTGAATGTACGTGAGGTCAGTGATATTGGGAGGATACATATAGACAGACACGCACATGCGCGCACACACTTGAGCATTTAATACATGGTCGTACCTACATCTTTTGAGGCTGAAATTGCTATTGCAAAGGTGATGAACTATAAAGCATCAGGTAGTGATCAAATTTTGGCAGAACTCATTTATGTAGGAGACCTGTTGTGGCCTGTGGTCCATATACTTATTATTTCTATTTGGAATGAGGAAGAATTGGCCAATCAGTAGAAGGAGTCTATTACTGTACCAGTTCACAAGAAGGGTGATAAAACTGACTGCATTAGTTATCGTGGAATATCACTTATCAGTTTCATACAAATTTTTATCCAATATCTTTCTCTCAAAGTTAAGTCTGTATATAGACAAATTTATTGGGGCCCTTGAGTGTAGGTTTTTACAACAGTTTGAATACTGATCACATTTTTTGCATTTGTCAGATACTAGAGAAATAATTGGAGTGTAATGAGACAATACATCAGCTGTTCATAAACTTCAAGAAAGCCTATGTTTTATTTAGGAGTGAAGTATTGTATAATATTCTCATAGAACTTGGGATACGCATGAAACTAGTTAGGCTGATTAAAATGTGGTTATGTGAAACCTATACTAAAGTCCATAATAGACAAACATTTGTCTTGTAAGTAGATTGAAATGAGTTCTGACAATTATATATATCACTCAGAATTACTGGATTTTCGGATTTTGTCCATCGTCCAATATTCTAAAAACAAGAAAACAACATTTTGGAAACTGGATATGTTTCCGTCTTCAGGTGAAGAGGGAGACACTTGTTCTGTTGGTCCCCTCAAAAAGATCTAGCCTCAATTACTGGATCAGTGGATTGGGGTTAGCTCTTACTAAGGGAAACAGTGTAGGTGTCTCCTCCTTCACTGAAGGACAGAAATGGATCCAGTGTATGAAATGTTGTGTTTTCTAGTTTTTAGAATAGCAAATGATGAACAAAGTAAAAAAACCCAGTAATTCTTTGTCTGATAGGTTTCCTGACCAAAATGGTCTAAAATATAGAGATTCATTATCAGCACTGCTTTTTAACTCTGCTTTAGACTGTGCTATTAGGGAGGTCCAGGAAAATCAGATGGAACTGAAATTACATGGGACACATCAGCTGCTTGTGAATCTACAAGGAGGTAACATATACCATGAAGAGAAACACAGGAACTATAATTGCCGCTAGTAGGGAGATTGGTCTAGGAGTAGATTAGAGAATTTCTCCTCACCAGAATGCATGGTAAAATCATGACATAAAGACAGCTAACAGATGCTTTGAAAATGGGACACAGTTCAATTATTTGGGAATGACAGTGGAAAATTGAAGTTTGATTCAGGAGGAAATTAAGAGGAGATTGAATTCGGGTAATGCTTGCTACCGTTCAATCCAGAACCTTTTGTCTTCTCATCTGCTGTCTAAAGACATAAAAATTAGAGTATACAAAACTATAATTTTGCCTGTGGTTCTGTATGCGTGTGAAACTCGGTCTCTGACATTAAGAGAGGAACATAGACTGATGGTGTTTGAGAACAGGGTGTTGAGAATATTTGAACTGAAGAAAGATGAAGTGACAGGAGGTTGGAGAAAACTGCGTAATGACGAGCTTCATAACTTGTACTCTTCTCCAAGTAAAATTAGAATGAAGAAGTCAAGGAGGATGAGGTGGGCAGGGCATGTAACACGAATGGGTGAGAAGAGGAATGCATATAGGATATTGGTGAGAAAGTCAGAAGGAAAGAGACCACTGGGAAGACCAAGGCGTAGGTGGGTGGACAATACTAAAATGGATCTTAGAGTGATAGGATGGGATGGTATGGACTGGATTGATCTGGCTCAGGATAGGGGCCAGTGGAGGGTTCTTGTGGACACTGGAATGAACCTTTGGGTTTCATGAGATGCTGGAAAATTCTTGAGTAGCTGCAGATTTGGCTTCTCCAAAACTAACTAAGTAAGAGAGGAACATGGCTGCGCCATAGCTCAACGGTTAGTCGCTGGCTTCCCACCGTGGCAGCCCAGGTTCGATCCTGGGTCTGGTCAAGTGGGATTTGTGGTGGACAAAGTGTCACTGGGGCAGGTTTTCTCTGAGTACTTCAGTTTCCCCGGCCAATCTTCATTCCGCCAGTTGCTCCACAATCACCCTCACATATCATCTGGGGCTGGTACAATAGGCCAGAAGTGGCTGCAGTACAAGGGACTTAGTCCCACCCCACTAGCAGTAAAAAAAAAATAGGAAGATTACAATTGGTTGCCACATTTAATGTTGCTGCTTTCAAGGTTTTCTTTGCAATGCTCGAATTCATTTCCCCTCAGAAAATTAATGGTTATTTTGCTGCTTTATACGAGTATGTTAAGATCTGTACCTTATGTTCTTGCTTGCTTTGACAGGCAATACCAAGTTTTTTGTGATAAGTGTATTTCATTTTTAAGTCCAGAATAGCATCAAATTAAGCCAGAATTTAATAAAACCTACATAAATTTTTGTATTTGAGTATGTTGTTAAGTGCTTGTGAAATCAATGGAGACATATTCCTCAGTCTGTATGAACATAATTACAAATGATTGCTGTCATAGCAGAATCACGTACATTTGGCTTGAAGATGAATAGAGCATGTAGCATGTAGGCAGGATGTGTTGTTGAGGAAACGTAGAAGAGATCACATAGATGACAGTAATATTAATATGGAATAGAAATTGTTGTGGTGACTAGATACCTTGAATTTGAACAACTAGATACATTAGATCCCTCCTCCAACATAGTTCGTTGTGTTCATGACAAAGTATCACATCACAAAGTTCTTAAGTTGTTTCAGAAGCATTTGGTGAAAATTTTGGATACCAGATTGATCTGTTTATTTTAATGCAAATCCAATTTAAACTGTGATTTAGTTATCTTCACTAGTTTAATGTAACGTGTCTGTATTGTTTGAACAGCTGTACTATAAATGTGGTTTTCCCAAGAGTGATCTTCAAGCATTTGTGGCAGCCTGCACAGATGAAGCTTCAAGTGGCATATATAGAAATGAATCATCCAGTTCTCTTGGAGATATGGTGGATAAGCTCTGCTGCTGCAAAAAGTGAGTGGATTTTCCCTTTATACCTCATTGAATTTCGGGAACTGAGCCTTTTGATTAAAGCTTAGAATTCTGATGAATAAATTAGGTGGTGACTGCAATATTAGTAGACACTTGAACATTTCTAATTACATTTTTAAGAACATAGAAATAATGCGTCCAAACATAAACTACTGATGGTGCAGTTTTGAAGCTGTCACACAAATTTCCAGCTCTTGTTCCTTCACCTGAATGTGAACTTGCATAAATATGCTTGAAACTTAGCTGTAGGACAATTGAAAATGTAGGAAGCTTCAAATAAATGAACAGTAACTTAACTATGATATTATGTTAAATATAAAGACAGTAAGTAAATAGAAAGTGCTTATAAAACATTGTATGCATGCTCTGTGTTTATATGTAGTGTTTTGCCATATTTTTGGTGTTGTGAGTTTATAATTTTGTATGTTTTGCTGACCTCCTTACTGTGTCAGTTGTCACAGCAAAGGGCCATTGACTGACTTCATAAATTGTTTAATTTTTACTTCTTCAGCTGGTATAAATTGAATATGAGGAATCTTCAGCTTTAGAAGATTAAATTATTCAGATTGTTCATAAATTATATTCCTAGATATGAAAATAATAATAGATTAGCCCCTTAATTTAAAATGTTACTCTTTGCAACATGAAACACTGGGGGCAGTGCGATGGCTCTGAAGTCAGTCACAAACCAAAATGAGTACTGCATATTAAAAGGCTCAGTTACCTGGACATCTTGAATTGTTTGTGGAATCAAAACAGGAAATACTTGAAGTCTCAGTAAACGATACACCTCTGCATTGCAGTGCACTGCATAGCACAGAGATTCCTTGGCAAAACTTTTTCAGGATGTTTGACTTGGAAATGACAGACTGAGTCCCTGACACTGAGAATTTCAGATGTTACAAGGTGTGACAGTTTAATTCTTGGAATGGCCATGTGAAAGCAAAATTTGCTTATGTGTGCACTAGGGGCTGCTGTCGCCTTCCAAATGCACTTCTTGAGATGATGGCGTAACTGCCAGAAACAGTCTTGAAAACCGTTTTCTGGAATACCTCACAGTAACATCACATTGCATTGGATGTCAGGAATGTCAGAAAATTTTTGTCCCTTCAGGAAATTTTTTTTAATTTTGGAAAGCCAAAAATCACAAGGGGCTAACTCAGGTGAATAAGGTGGATGGTCCAGTTTTGTTATGGATTTCTTAGCCAGAAACTTGCAAACTCTTAACACATCATGTGCAGGGGCATTGTCATGGTGGAAAATCCACTTGTTAGGCCAGAGTTCAGGTCTTTTCTTCCAAACAGATCCCCATAACCTTGTCACCACTTCCAAATAACACTGCTGATTCACCGTTTGTCCTTGTGCAGTGAAATTATAGGTGAACTATCACCTTGTGATCGAAGAAACACTTCGTGGGTCACCTTGAACACCATCTCACCCTTCCTTCAACTGCCTGTGCCATTCAGAAACGCTTGATTTCTTCATAGCATATTCACCATAAGTTACTGTTAACAGGGCTAAAGTTTCACAAGCACTTTCACCAATCTTCACACAAAATTTGATGTTTATCCGCTGCTCCAGATTCTTTTCACTCATTTTTCTGCCAACAGTAACCCTTGGATATGCACTGCTACTTCTGTTGCTTGGGAACAAATGACTCAGTTGGTCTGTGGCTCATGTAAACGCAAGTTGGAACATGTCCAAATGTGCTTGCGTACATGAGGTTGCCTGACTCAACACCCCAGCAACACGCCGTGGCCATTTCAGGAATTAAATTGTTGGACCTTGTATACTGTTGTACTTCTTCCTTTGGGATTGTAGCAGGCACCTGTACTGCATGTTGCTATCTTGCATACTTGAATGATGCAAACCATCAAAGCTACGACCACAGATATGTATGAAATGTACGCTGCTCCAAATCTAATATTGCCCTAGTATGATCTGTCATACCGGAGGGGTTCATACAGAGCACATAAATAACATGATTCTGCATAAAGGAGCATGTGCACAAAAATCCTTTATTTTATCAAGAGGAATTCATCTCATATCCCATTTTCAAATTGGAAAGATAATTTCAACAGACTATATTTTCTAGCAGTGTGTTCCTCCTAGTTTTGTATAGATATTTGAATTACTTCTTATGGCCTCATAATGCTTATTCCTGTCTCAGGACAGAATACTGTACTTAGAAAGTATAAATGTTTGTTGTGTTGGTCATAACACATATATGTTTCATGAATGCAGTGAAGTGCCATTATAAAATGCTAGAAAAGGTCGATTTTTATGTCTTGTAATGAAAATGTGTAACTTAGCTGAAGAACATGATACCATCTTCAGTGCAAATATATATTATAGGTCTTTCGTTTTGCTCTCCTTTACAAACTACATGTTTCAGCCACAAACGACCATCATCAGGTGTATTACTCATGTATCTGTCACACTGCACTTATTTTAACATTTAAAATTTAAAAACACAGGTCTTCCTGATTGTTCCTTTTGTCGTTATTACCAAAATCTACCTCGTTGATATCTTTGTTATTTACACACGTCAATTTTGATTTCTCTGAATTATCACTTATAAAATCTTCAGTTCTAATTTTAAAATCTTTTAAATTTTCTTCTAAATTTTAAATTTAAAATTGTCAGGGTTACTCGCCCTATGTCTATAGCGCTGCAGCGGCTACTTCTTGTTTCTAGTACTGTACTGCTGTTATTCTGTGTAGTCTCTCTGCGTGCGTGCCGCTGCTTGTCTTTACTACATGTCTTTACATGTAGTAAAGACAAGATATGATGTGACTGAGAAATTCATCGCCACCTTTGTGGTATTGCTCTAAAATTGTCAAAGCCGAAGGAAGCCATTCTCTGCGTTTTGTGTGCCCCCATTTGCGTTTCATGCAAACTTGTGATAGTCTAGCCTAACTGCATTAATCTCATAGAGGACAGTGCATAAAATTTATGGGAACTTGCACAAAACTTCTGAAATTGTGAAGTGCTGTCTTTCACAGATTTTTTGGTCAGCACTTTGAACATGATCATCACCCACAACAGATGACCAGCCGACCACTTCACTCTTTATCATGCACATTTGTTCGCCCATCTTTGAACATTCTACACCAGGCATGTCCATCGTGTCGATTGCGATCAACCGGTCGATTGTGGGACGATTTTTGGTCGATCTCATAGACCTATAAGGAAATTATACTTGGAAAGCATGTAGATTCACTTGTAATATAATATGATTATATTCAGATTTTGAAGGGAAAATACGTGTTAAAGTAGTCTGTACTTTCAATGTATGTTGCTTTTACAACACACATCATGTGTCATATTATTTTTACCAATATTTTTGCTTAAAGCAAGGTACAACGATAGGAGGGGATGGTAGATCACTGGCAGTTTTGACACTAAAAAGTCGCTCAAAACCTGTTTGAAGTTGGACATGCCTGTTCTACACCATTGTCTTACAATCCCTTCACTCATTACAATTTTGGCTGTAAACCGCCGTGCATAATTCATGATGGATTTTTGCAACACTTATCTTTTTAATATGAAGAAAGCGATTAATATTGTGAATTCTGCAGCTGCAGGATTACCAATTGCAAGACACGTCATGACTCACTGTTTAAAGACAAAAACAAACACTACATGACCAGTTATGTGATGATTACAAGGCAGTGAGTCATGTGACTACCTCGCATGTGTGAGCTCGTCTCCACGCCTACATTAGTTGCCTAAAATAAACAGAGGTTACTTTCCGAATAGCCCTCATATTCAGATGTTCTCTGGCTCCATTTTTTCAGTTGCTACAATAAATGTAACATTTGAACGTGTTCTGCATGTGTTTTTATAGAAAATATTTGCATGTATGCATATTGTGTGACTTTTGAAAATTTCCTTTAGTAACTGTCTCCTATGCTATTATTCAGAAAAAGAAGGTGGAATCTTACATATTCTCTTGTAGAATAACTTTACTTACATTCAACCGAGTTGGTTAACAGTTCACAATGGCGCCAGAAGGTAAGAATGAGACATACATTACTGAAACTGATCAAAATTTTGTACTGTCATAAAGAAATTAAGCAATTGTTATTGAGGTGCCTGCGTAAGAAGACTTGACTTGTATGATGTTATCAGTTTGAGATGCGTATTTCACTTTTGATAAGTAGAAGTGCTTCCAGTGTTACTGACCTCTGAAGTGGTACTGCACAGTATCCTTTTCTTTTTCCTCCAGATATGTAATCCACAAATCTTCAGAATATGGCCTACTACAGCGTAGAATTTTGTATGATGTTAATCCCTTGTGCATCCTAAAATAATGCATAGTATTGATGGTTTTGAAGCCTTCATCATGTGGTCACACCTGCATGGTCTTGCATGATTTCACCCTTGTGGAATATATTATAGCAGGACTAGATTGCAAATTACATGTTGAAATGACTGACTGGTGTTTTGTTTCTGGATTATGATGCCATTAGACTGGGTGGTTACCGGAATTTCAGAGGAATCTGCTGCCTTTATTGTCAGATGGAAGCGCAGGTTTCCTCCAGTGTGTAGGTGATCACCTGCCAAGGCATATGATTATCGCAACTCAGAAGACTGCCATCTTAACGTTCACTGCCTTGAAAACCTTGACATTTCCCACATTTTATGGATACCAGCGTTTATTACCATATTCACAAGAGCCCACTGCTGGTCTCTATCCAGGGCCAGATGAATCCAGCCCACATCCTCATATTCTGTTTAATATCCAATTTAATATTATCTTCCCTTCTACACCTGAGTCTTTCAAGTGCTCTCTTTTAGGTTTCCCACGAAAACTTTATATGCATTTATTATCTTTTGCATGCATGCTACATGTCCCACCATTTAATCCCCTTGATTTGATCGTCCTAGTACTATCTTGCATAGAGTACAAAATTATGCAGCGTCTTATTCAGTTCTCTTCAGATCCTTGTCACTTCCTTGCTCTGAATTTCTTAATG